CCCCCCCCGCTATGGTAACTGAATAGGCAATGGAAAGAGGCCTTTCCTTCTCTCTGGTTATTAGACAGAAATCTCAGGGATTTTCTAAAATCCCTGCACAGAGAAATAATAGGAGTGAAAAGGGGCATTGAGTGTTGACCAGACACTGAACATCAAGGAAACAACTGTGAAATCTTTCCTCTCCTTTCTCCTCTGGCCAAACTCTTCACCCACTTGATTTAGAGCCATCAGAAAAATTTCAAAACAAAACATAAGCAGAGCCTGTTTAGTTTTGACAAGCAAGGCGCCTCCTACTTCACCCTCAGTCCTTCTCTGCCCCTGTGCCCTTGCATACAGTTGATGCCTGTGATGTACAACCAGCAGGCACTGGTCTGGTTGGGTGGGGTCTCCTTTCTGGAACTTGGGTGCAGTGAGGGGTCTGAGACCCCAGCATCCCAGCTTTTAGCCTTTTTTGTTGGAGTTCCTTGGGAAAGTTACTCTGTGCTTCAGTTTCTCATCTGTTAAGTGGGACAATGCCCCCACCTCAGAAAACCGTTATGAAGACGAAATATAAGAAGCCCTGTGTGGCCCTCAGGGCTCCAGCTGACCCAGACTGCCCCAGCTTCTCAACACTGACTGCAGAAGGGAAGGTGTCCCTACAGACACACTGAAAATGTCATGATCTCTCCACGGTTTAGAGATCCAGGGGAGAGGCCAAACTATGCTGCAAGAGAACAGCAGAGGGAGAAGATGGTCGTAGACCACTCAAGGCCAGCCTCAGAGATGCAGGGACACACACACAATGAGGGACACTTGCATGCGCTTGGCTGGGGGTATGTAATAAACTGGCTTTGCCTTTATACTTGTGTACACTACTAAAGCATTCCAAATGAAATGGGGAAAACATCAGTTAGAGATATGAAAACAAGGAAAGAACAAAACAGAAGGCGGGGGGAAGAAAGAGGAGACAAAAAGGAGAACAAAGAGGAGGAAGAAGAGGGGAAGCAGCAGCAGAAGGGGGAGGAGCAGGAGGAGAAGGAGGAGGAACAGGAGGAGGGGGAGCAGGTGAAGGAGCAGGTGGAGCAGGAGCAGGAGGAGAAGGAGGAGCAGGAGGAGAATCTGGAGGAGCAGGCAGACCAGAAGGAAGAGCAGGAAGACGAGGAGCAAGAAAGGGAGCAGGAGAAGAAGGAACAGGGGGAGGAACTGGAGGAGCAGGAGGTGGGGAGGATCTGGAAGAGAATCTGGAGGAGGAGGAGGGGGAGGAGGAGGAGGAGGGGGAAGAGGAGCAGGAGGTGGAGTCAGAGGAGAATCTGCAGGAGCAGGAGGAGGAGGAGGAGGAGGGAGGAAAAGCAGGATGATGAGGAGTAAGAGGAGCAGGAAGAGGAGGAGGAAGAGGAGGAGAAGGATCTGCAAGATCATGAAGAGGAGGAGGATCTGGAGGAGCAGGAGGAACAGAAGGAACAAGAGGTGGAGGAGCAGGAAGAGGAGCAGGAGGAGGAGCTGGAGGAGCAGGAGGAGAATCTAGAGGAGCAGGAGGAGCAGAAGCAGTAGGACGAGGGGGGAGGAGCAGGAGGAGGAGGAGGATCTGGAGGAGCAGGAGGAGCAGAAGCAGGAGGAGGAGGGAGGGGGATGATCTGGAGGAGGAGGAGGAGGAGCAGGAAGAGGAGCAGGAAGTGGAGCAGAAGGATGAGAAATAGGAGGAGGAGGAGGAGGAGGAGCAGGAAGAAGAGGAGCAGGAAGTGGAGCAGAAGGATGAGAAATAGGAGGAGGAGGAGGAGGAGCAGAAGGACAATCTGTAGGAGTTGGAGGAAGAGGAGCAGGAGAAGATTCTGGTGTAGCAGGATGAGGATGAGGAGGAGGAGGAGGATCTGGAAGAGTGGGAATAGGAACAGAAGGAGGAGCAGGTGGAAGGAGGAGAAGGGGGATCTGGAGCAGGAAGAGGAGAAGGTGGAAGAGCAGGAGGAGGAGGAGGAGGAGGAGGANGCCAACGAATATATTTCTACTTGGGAACTAGTGAGCAGAGGACCCCGCTCTCATGTGTTATCCTCTTAGAATCTAGCAATTGATGAGATTTGGTTAGCCTTCTAGGATCACGAATGACTGTTTCTTCTTCCGAGCCTACTAAGGTCTCAGGAAAACTGTCCACCTTTTTGTTCTGGTGGACCACAAAAGATAATTTTAAGGTAACAAAGCTGGAAAGATGGATTCCTCCCTCCCCCAACAAGAATCATTAAAATGGAAACATCATCTTGTCTGTCACGTTTTGTGTTTTTCCAAAATAAAACTTGGAGAAGTCACTCCATTCTTAATGGTCCTATTGGTCTAAGCCAGCGTCTGCCCAAGACTGGACAGTAGTATGGTGGCTGTGCCCAGAGCCAGCTCTGGGCTGGGAGGCTGAGGCCTGAAGTCTTGGGCCCCGACCAACCAACCGGGGCTGGTCATTCCTTTGCCTGGGCCTTGGGCTCCTCATTTGTAGGACAAGGGCATAAGTTAGAGCTGAGCTCTCCCACCATTTTGTCCATAGCACCTTTTGTATCCTTCCCCAAATTTAATCTGGAACCCCAATATCAAGAACTGATTAAAAGGAGCCGCTTTGATAGAAAAAGCTGTGAGGACGATGAGACCTGACCCTGAACCTCTCCCTTGACCTGACAAGAGTCCTGAGACCTTTCATGAATGAGTGCAAGTCCCTATCCTCCCATGACCTCTAACCCCAAATGAGTTAACCCTTTCCAGTTGCCTATATGACCTCTAGCCCTGAATGAGAGTTAACCCCTCAGATGCCCTCAAACCCTGAATGAGGGCCCAACTTGTGTGGTCAGGAAAGGACAAGGTTACTGAGCTGGGAGTCAACAGGAAATACCTTCTAGGTACACTCTGAGCCTGGGATGAGCTGTCAGGACACTGTGTGAATGATTGGGAATACAGGGTCCAAAACTGTGGCGGTAGGGCTGGATGTGGACAACGTCCCTCGTAGAGCACAGCTGGGGTTCACACGGGGGGGGGGTTTAGGCTGGACCATCACAACCTGCAGTTGCCTTGGGGTCTAGGCCTCTGACCAGTGCTGGGCTGCAGGGGCCGGCTCCAAGTGGGAGCAAGGTTACTGAGCAGCCTGGCTGAGGAGACAGCCAGAATCCCCTCTCCTGTGCCAGTGCCTGAAAATTCCAACTTGGAGTCCTCTTCCCATTGTGCCTCTGAAGGAGGTACATTCACTGGAAGGCACACGGTGAGAGGATTTCCAAGGACATGAACCTGCTCTCTGACAGTCCTAAGGACACATGGTCTGTGTGGACTAGCTCAGGGCTCCTGGCCTGTGCAGCAAACAGGGTAAGATGCCTGACCTCCTGGGCTGGGGGTGGCTGGCTGGGGCCCTAGCTGTCCTGAGGTGGGGATGGGGTCCATATCTTCCAGCACTTGTAACCTTCAGACCACTGGTTAGGAAGCTCTGACAGGCTTATCAGGCTTAGCCAGGGCCCCTTAGAAAAGAGCGGAGCCCTGGGCAGGCCATAATTCAAAGTCCAGCTGGGGAGGACGGGGGCCCTGTTGGCCTCTCCTGTAATGGCTTTCTTTTCCGGCCCCTCCCTGACCATGGCTTCTCCTTGGGTGTGTCCCTCTGATGACTCACGAGTTCACACACAGGACCACGATGTTCTTCCACAGGTTCCGGGTGCCCACCACTTTCACGATACAGACCTTCTTGGGTCTCCTGGAAAGCTCTTTCTCCAGCTCTGCAGAGAAAGAGAACCTGTGACCTCTCAGCAAGACCCTGGACAGGCAGCCTCAATGACAGCCCCATTTCCCAAATTCTGGTATCTTGAAAAGGGGAGGATCCCCCTCTCCCCCCCTTTAAGTCAGGGGTTAGAGGATAGAAAATGCATTCACAAAGACTCTAACTTTGCAGCTCCAATTTCCCCATGGGGTCTGAAGGGAGCGATGGCACACTGTCAGTATACAGTACCTCCCCATTGCAAAACCTTTCCTGGGGACCAGGCTGGACACACGAATAAACTATCAGCATAGGCTCATTCCACTCTGGCTCAGTGATGATATTCTAGGTTACTGAGCACTAATTAGGCTCTGGGCACATCAGAACAGTAATTTCTTTCCTTATAGAGTCTGATCTGTCTCAGTCACCCACTGCTCAGAGACTGGGAGAAGCACACGCTGATATGCTCCTTAACTCTGTGGGCAGAACATATGATGGCTGTAGGTGCTTCTTCAGAAGCTACTCCTTGAGTGCATGTATCTTCAAAAGAGAAATACATAAATGAAGGAACATGTGAGCTTATATGTGTATACACATATATACACACACTCGTATAGGTGTATGTTTTAGTTAATGGTGGTCAAAGTCCTTGGGAGCTGGAGAAGACCGATGACGTTTTGGCTCAAAGTGATGTGACCAACTCAAAGTTATGAGACAGAGTTTCTTGTGAGGTTCAGACTTGCTCCAAAAGGCATTCTGAACAGACTCTGATGGTGTTAATGAGTTTGCTGAGGTCCTGATGCTGACTTAGCAATTTAACAGGGAAGGTCAGAGCAGACAATGTCCAGATCTCCAGGATCTCCCTAAATGTCTGTGAGCAGAAAAGCCACACATTCAGCCTCCCAGCTGCTCTCTTAACCAGGCATGTCCTTAGGGAATAATTCCTTAGTAAGGAGCTAAAAATGAAAAAGGAGGCTGACCCAATTGGATGGGTGGCCAGTACTCTGTTAAGGCCATGAAAACAAGAAAGACTGAGGAACTGTCACAGACCAGAAGAGATTGGGGAGATGGGACAAATAAATATCATCCTGGATGGATCCTGGAGCAGGAAGAGGTCATTAATGGAAAGAATGGTGGCATGTAGATACAGCGTTGAGTTTGGTTAACAGTAGTGTATCAATGGCAGTTTCTCAGTTGTGACAACTGTACCATGGTAATATTAGATGTTAACAAGGGGGGAGACTGAGTCAGGGGTAGTCAGAAATTCTGTGCTATCTTTGCAATTTTTCTGTAAACCTAAAATTTATTCCAAGATAAGTTTACTGAAAATAAACAGCAGTGGGGGTGAGAAGGCCCATCTACTGAGGAAGCCTTTACTGCTGGGAGGGAATATGATTACCTCAGAAGGGACCTGGGAGCAGCAGCTCCCTCAGGGGACTGTGTCTCTGAAGTATGTCCCCTCCAACCATACCCCTCCACCTCCAGGCACCTGCCCCCATCTTCTTTCTTTCCTTTTCCACCTCCTTCCTGCCATCAAATGGCAGGAGGGTCACAAACCTCATTAATTGCAGTTTGAAGGAAAAGGTGTTGCTTAACTCTAAGAGTTTAGAAGGTTTTTTGTTTTTATTAAAAAAATTTGGGGAATGGGGATCAGTATCACCAGCTGGGGCATAGAAGGGAAAAGAAAAAATCTTTCCTATGTTTGAGGGATATTATGCTGCTTGTGTTTCCAGAACGTTCTCCCTTACCATATTTAGGTGCAAAGATTGAGGTCTGTACAAAACCAGGTGGCTGGCATTTTGTGGCTGTCCACAGACCTCCTCCTGAGGTCTTCCTGATCTTTATGTTCCCCTTTGTAAAAATAAGATAATTTGACTTACAGGTATACTTTCCCCATGGTTAAAAATCTAAAAAAACTTTTAAAGACCATGGATCTACTACGGTTAATAGATAATGTCTGTTATCCAATGTCTGAGTAGCTTCACTTTTGTAAAACTTATCAGGAGTCAAGTTTAACAGCTACACTTGCTCATCATGTAAATCTTACAAGAAGAAAATTTAAATGTCCATTAGCATGTTTATATAAGTTTAAAGGTTTCTTTATTCTTTTTTTGTAATGTGGCCCAAATTTAACTTGTAATACATTATTGTATATAAAATAGATGTTGATAAAGAAGCTGTAACAACTGTAATTATGACCTGAGGCTTTTGGTTTGGTTTTTTTTTATAGCATTAAACTCTAGAGCTCCAAGTCTAAAGAATTGACTATAGTCTACAGAGGTAACTGCATTATTCTAAATGAAATTAAATTAACCTGTCTAGGGCTATTGATATTTTCTCTCTGTTACACACATCACCAGCCTATCAACAACAACATAAACTTGCTCAGCACTAGGTCTGCTCTTCTGGGATAAAAATCCACCAGCTGTGAGTTATAAGAAACATTAGAGGACTTCTGAGACCTGTGCCCGCCGCCCC